CATGACAGAAGCGCAGGTCCCAGGTTACTGACTTGTGACAGGAATTAAATGAGGTACTCAACTCCCGTCCTAAGAATCTAGACTTCTGTAATACCATACCGATAGGGAGTACTATAAAAGAAGTAGTAGCCTAATTTGGTGATGTATGATGTGAATACCTGGAACCATGCGAACAGCTCTCCTAATGGTGGCAGCAGGTGGCTTGAAATACGGGTCTTCAGACAGCAGCAGCACCTGGCTTGAGATATGGATTAGGAACTAAAGTAACATCTTGAGGGACATCAAACTGGAAGCAAGAAGAGCGCCCACTCCTAGAATATCAATTTGGAAGTTATAACAAAAAACGAATTAGAAGTAATGTGATAAGTAATGAGGGTAGATTATAACTAGTAGACGTTGTATAGTAGTATATATATATGAATTAGTAAAAACATTAAGGTTCTGAGTTAAATCAGGACTTAGGGTGCTTTTTGATAGAGGTACCTGAGAATGTTTGTCTCACATGTGAGATAGTATAGACGATTGCATCTGGGCGCCATATAAGGTAGCCAGGTGAGGTCATTACAACTACTTAGATAGGTTAAAAATATATATAATATCTGTAATGTTCAATTAAATAAGTAATAAAGTTAATGACAAAATCATCGAAGTTTAAAAAAAAAAAAAAATACACATAATACAAAAAAATAAAAATTTTATACAAAACTCAGATATAACTAATTATTTAATTTTATACAAGTTATGAAAAAAAAATATCAAATGAGTAAAAATAAAAAATTTTGAGATACTTTGTTTCAAAGATTATACATTCTACTTGTTCCAACCACTACTCATTGGTTGCGAAGATTTAACCCAACCTATCTTCTACTCTTATACCGATACTTGTCATAGCTTGGTTCCCGGAAAGATGGGAAATGGACGAAAATAAGACATTTGTGCATTGGAATCGAGTTGAGATGGATGAAAATAAAATATTTATGTATTGGAATCAAGTTGAGATAGACATTTATTTACTTCACAGGTATGAATAACCTGAAAGATGTGGAATTAGTGTTGAGATTGAATATTTATTCACCCAATGAAATTTATAAAAATTAAGGTGTCTCAAGTTGCTCCTTCAGTAGTAATTGAGATCTTGCAACTAATCGATGAATTTTGTTAAAAACTCATTATGCGAACTCTGAAAAAGTGATGGGTTGCATTCATTGAAATGGTAACTCGGTTAGTTTATTCAATCTTCGACTAATTAAAGCTTGTCCTTCAACTCATTGCGTGAGATGCTTGAGAACATCCTCCAGGCATAAATAACACAGAAGAAATAGAATTAGAATTGAGATCAGGAGATGGATGAAAATAAGGTATTTATTTACTCCCAGGTGTGAATAACCTGGATTTAAGATATTTACCGTATTTGCGCGTAATAACGCGCAGGGGTGTAATTTCGAATTTCGGCCTAAATTAAGCTTAATTAAAATAAGAATTTGCGCGCGTAATAACGCAATTTCGAATTTCGGCCTAAATTAAGCTTAATTCGGGCCATGGATCAAAATAACGTTCCGGCCCACTATTACGCGCAAATACGGTACACACTAAAAAGCCTCATTATTCTGTGTAATTTGTGTCTACAGATCATATTTTCATCCATTTAAACACCAAATAACCCGATATTGGATAAAATAAGACATTTATTCACCTACACTCTATAAAAAAAGTCGATCCGTGATTTATACTCCGTGTTTTTTCCGTAAATGTTGCATATTCGCAGAATTTATAATCTTAAATCATGGAGATTATTCGGCTTGTTTGGATTTTATTGATCATGTTACAGATTCACGAAGTTTTCACAAAGAATATGGAATAATAATAGAAATATTCGGATAAAATTTCTTACAGGAGCAGACATGAATCACCCGGAAGAAGTTGAGATGGATTAAAATACACTGCGAAAATTAATAGGAATTAATCACCCAAAAAAATGGAATAGAGTTGAGATGGATGAAAATAAGACTTCGAGGCGCGAATCATCCTGGTGCTAAGAAGGATGAAAATAAGACATTTATTACTCCGACATATGAATCACTAAGAATGGGATATTTAAATTTAATATTAAGCGAAAAATAGAACAATAAACTAATGCAAATTATAAAATACAGTTATTTATAAATTATATATTAATTAATTTAAATTTATTAATAGTTTTATTTTTTATTATAATTTTATTAGTAAAATGGTTATTTTGGAAATTTAAATAGCATTAAATTTAATAAAATAAAATAAAAAAACGTTTCTGTAACTTTGTTCTTTTCATTCTTTATGTTTTTACTACTTGCTGGTTCTTAAGATGTCTCGCACTGAATTACTATATATATAGTATATGTATAATACTGTGGATATTACATCATCAGAAATTTATTGCTTCTTATTCAATGTGCTGTTATACTTTTTTACAGATCCACTACGTAGAAGCTGAGTTACGTATAACTTTGCTTAAATTTTAGAGCATTAATGTAATAAAATGGTAATAAATAAAATAGCTGATTTTTGCCGGACTGATTAACAATTTTTATACTCGTTTCAAATAACTGGCTTTTACTTTCAAATGTTTCTGTGTTAATTTACTAATGATGCCATAATATGCCATAGTATCCTTCTTTTTTTTTAGTTTCAACTACGTTGCAAAGAAATTTCATTAACTTTTTCGTTGGAATTCTAATTTGAGAATTAGATCATGATTCCCACGCCACGAGTAATTCATTTATCAATAACATGAGTTAATCAATGCTGAAGGATAAGATTTTTATTAAGGCTCTTACTTTTCTAAAAGCTATTGGATGAATTTCGAAGAAAACTTCCATTTATTGTGTATATATTCGTTATAACTATTAGACCTATCATAACCTAATATATCGTTTTTATTCTAATTTTCTTAATCTAAAAATGAAAATAACAAAGCTTTAGTAATTTTGTAGCTCTGATTTAACAAATTTGATTGGTTTTTTGGTTTTTGAGTTTAATATTATTGATTAAAATAGGACATATTGGATATCCCAAATAAAATAGAAAATCCTGATTTCCAAACCCAAACTATGTAATAATAGCCATAATTCCAAAAAAAAAAAAAAGAATGATTTGGATCGCAATCCTATTTATTATCGGCCGGAAGAGGAGGCGTGGGAACGTCGCTTAAATCATCTTGCTTAACAGCCATTATTGAATATGTATCTTTTTTTTTTTAAGTAAAATAATGTCAAGATAATAATCATAAAGATATTTCTTCATGTTATTAAAGTAATGACCACATAATGATCAAAGGATACACACAGCTCCAGTAAATCCTAACAAGAGTAACCCAGTTATAACATTACGAACCAAGAACGGTCTTCTTGCGCGCTGAAGCGCCGGAGTTTGACTATATCCTTTAGCTTGATGATACTGTGAAACTGGAGGTAATACCATATCTGAAAGAAAGACAGACGTTTATTTTATAATTTAGATTAATAGATTGAATTTTTTTTACAAGCTAACATAAGATATGTCAAAATAATAAAATGTTTTTGTTAACATCTGGATTTTTATCGTACAAGTTGAATATCAGTCATAAGATTTGGCGATACAGATAATCTATTGGATTCTCATTGGGGTCTACGTCAATCAAATTATATAAGGTCATTTATCAGTTATTAAAAAAATATATATGTGTAATTCCCTAAAACCATTGAATTATTTATCACCGAATACGTAGTATTTTACAAACTCATAATTAAACCTTGCAATGAAAATTAGTTGAATCTACCATTGTGAAAGATACTTTTAATAATGCTATTTAATCGATAATCGATTAATTTCAGTCTCGAAAATTTTAACATATTAACGATTAATATTTACATACCAGATACTGCGTTACTGCGTACGTAGGTACGTGTTTACCAGTTACGTAGCAAAAATTTCTGACTAATGTATAATGCTAGAAATTTCTGGACAATCTGTTATTAACGTTAAGATAAATGATTTAAAATTTAACCAATCAAATACTATTAAGAGTTCACTGTATGATAATCGTTACTTGATTCAATTAAATCATGAGATCACATTATTACCTATTTTAGTTAGTCAAATCAAGTTAGAGAAGAATAAAAGGTATAAAAATTTTTTAAAAAAAACTAGTTCTTTTTCCATCACATTCTTTTACAAAAAAAAAATGAGCACTGAAACAGTAGAGAAAAGTATGTAAATTTCCAAAATTAAATATTTCAATATAACTTGTAATAACTTGTAATATTAATATATTGCTTAATAATATTTTGATAACTTTTTTTAAAGCATCTGCGCCAACAGATTCTACAGCCACAAAAGACGCTTCAGTACCTCAAACACAATCTCAATCGTCGACCTTCCTAAATCAAAGTCGCGTCCGGTAAACAAATGATTTTCGTTTAAGGTATTGTATGTAAAATTAGGACTTTCTTTTTTTTTAACTATAACGCAATAATAATAACATTATAGACACGAGTGGTATCAAAATGAAAACTTTGTTGTTATCAGTATTTTTATAAAGAACGTGAAGAAAGAGACTGTTGATGTTTATTTTGCGGATCGTTCGGTTTGTTTATTGTTTTAGAATTTTTTAAAAAATTAAGAGATTGATATAATTTGGTTTAACGCGTATTATTAAAATTATTTAGGTATCAGTTACTGTCAAATTGCCTACTGGATCTGATTATTCCTTAGAGATTGATCCATTAGCTCATGAAATATTACCTAAGGAATGTAAATATGAAGTATTATCCACTAAAATTGAAGTTAAGCTTAAAAAGGACAAAGCTGGAATTAAGTGGGGGGTTCTTGAGGGAGAGGATACCCTTGCTGGATCTATTTCAACATCTGATGGTAATTAAACATATTTTTAAACACATATTTTTAAACATATATTTAAACATATTTTAAACATAATTAAATAACATCAATTAATCAATATATGAAACAAAAAATTGGTATGTTATTTTTTAGGCAAGTTAACTTATCCTTCATCGGCACGTAACGCGAAAAATTGGGACAAGTTGGAGAAAGAAATTAGTAAAGACCAAGAAAAACCGGAAGGTGAAGCTGCGTTGAATTCATTGTTTCAGCAACTTTATAAGGATGCGGATGATGATACCAAGCGAGCAATGTTAAAAAGTTATACAGAGAGTAGTGGTACTTGTCTTAGCACAAATTGGTCAGAAGTTAGTAAGGGTAAGGTGGAAACAAAACCTCCAGAAGGAATGATCGCTAAAAAGGTAAGATTTAATTTCTCCTTTGCGGATCATTATATTAATAGTTTGGTTAATTTCTCTTTCGTTTTTTTTTTAGTGGGAAGATTAAGGCCAGTGTTGTACTTTTTAGGCCCTTTTTGCAATGTCCAATGTTCAATGTCCAAGCACATTTACACATATAAATTAAAATAAAATTTTAAAGGCATAATACTATATAAAAATTAGGTGCTATTTCAAAAAATTAAATTAGGTTGTCATAAGGTATTAACATTTTATTTTTGTGTAACATGGCCAAGGTTTTAGTATATAGATAGTCAATTGACTATCCTTCAACCAATCACAAACATTTTTACGTAGTTAGTTTTTGAACGGAATATCCGGATAGATATTCTAATCCGGTTATATATTATATAGTTTATTTGTTTATTATACGTACGTATATTGTGAAATTTAATAAATTAAATATATATATAATTGAACACTATACAACTGGTATAAATGAAATTCATATCCAAACTTGCATTATATATTTGCGTGAAAATTTTTTCATAACGATAAGTTATCTTTTTTGATGTCGTTAAAAAAAGTACTACTAACTACTCATATGCGATCGACTAATAACATTCTCTTCAATTCAAATTCAAAATTTCGGTACAACTAATTTAGGATTATCAGCCGAATTGATTCTCATTTTAAAAAAAAAATATTTTGTAATCATTTATCTACAAACTTCTTTGAATATTCTATAATGTATAAATTTTTTTTTTTTATCTTTACAATTTTTATTACATTTTATAATAGAATTTATAATATATATGTGTGTGTGTATGAAAAAAAAATATAATATGTATAATAAAAAGAAAAAAATAATGATATAGTCTGTTGTCTATTCTGTACAACAAAAACTTGAAAAGACTAGGGAGGAAAATGACAAAAATGTTTTTTTTTTTTTTTTTTTTTTAAAGAAATATACATTCTATCTATTTGTACACAAAAAAAAAAAAAAACATACATTCTAAATGAAGAGCGAAATGCTAAAATTAGTACAATGAATTTTTTCTTTTTTTTTTTGAAGTGAAAAAAAGTGTAGTTATTTTATACAAATGGATTAATGAGAATTTTTTTTTTGAAACGCGCACAAGTTGTATAAATGGAATCACCTCTGAACTTTCTTCTACTTGAGATCGTAGCCCGATTCAGTAGAATGGAAGTGCAAATGTGAAATTCCTGAACATCAAAGTAATGGAAAGTGAAAATGGTCGTGCAATCGATCGGATGACCGGAAGCTGAGAATAACAGAATTTCTCATGATCCGATCGAGGACCAAACGTATCAGCAGTACATTACTGATGTTCATTAAATTATATATACAATATAAAAGGGTAGTTCGTAATGGAAAATCCAAATAAACCGATTTACTATTGAATACAACAGCATATCGTAAAGTTGTCATTCACATTGTTTTGATTTGATACATTGTCTGTAGAGGTGTATGTAGAGGCGTAAACAACATTTGAAAGTGAACGATTATTATTTCGGGAAAAAATTGGCCAATTCGTATTTTTTTGAGCATCATGACGTGAATTTAATGGAGAATCTGAAGCACCTGTTGTGCTAAGAACTTCATTAGATTTAAACCAGTCCTCAGTTTCAGGTCCATCAGGTAAATTTGGAATTTGTCTTAAATAAGTTACCGATGATCGATGGTGCATGGTCCTAGCTGCTGGAATAGCAGTAATTGGAGAATTTTTACGACTATCGTAAGAAACTAGATTTTTTTAAAAAAATATATATATATATAATTTTTAAATTTACATAAATTATTTTGATAATAAAAAACGAATTGAAATAATAAAAGCTTACCAATAACTCCAGAGTCATTACTAGAGCTATTGTGTTTTAATGAACGGATATTATTACCTGAATTCTTATGTTTTAATGAATGAGTATCATTATTGAGATTTTCATTGTGCTCTTGCCATTGTTTCTTATTTTGTTCGAGATAAGGTACGCAAAATTTCATTTCTATTCATGTAATAAAAATAAATATATTTGTATATATATTTAAAAAATATTAAATATAATATAAATGAAATCATACCGTGTATCAGATCACCTACGCACTTAAACAATGGCAGCGCAAAATAGTCAATAAACTTTATCTGAGATTCTGATTGAGTAGTCTGTCCATGTCTATCATTCATTGGACCAATGGGAAGGCCGAGTTTTCTTTCCAAATCACCTTGACATTTGAATTCGTCAAGTAGAACGTTCGACCAACTAGCAGCAATATGGTAAGGTCTAGCCTAAAGAAAAAAAAAATAAATAAAATAAATATTTTTGCATATTGTTTTCCATACAAAATAATATAAATGATGATAGACATACAACATTACTAATGTCAGCGCATTTTATTAACGCGCCGATCATAGTATTCCGAATCTTTTCTTGCGTAGGTTTATCAAGAAATTTTGTTTCGAGAGACTCAAATTTTTTTGTTTCCTCTTTTATTTTATTAACGTAATCATTATGTAAATACATGTCGGTAGCAAGTATTGCACTTACTATGACTTTACGAAATTCTAATTTGAAAATTAAAAATAATTATTTATTATATAGTTTTATTATAAGGAGGAATTTCAAGGAAAAAAAAAAAATTTTTTTTTACCATGATATTTTTTATTATATATGGAACCATCATTATTATTATCATAAATTTTAAAGCCATATTTTTGCATCAAGTTAAATAAAGTCATGACGTGGAAGTTTTCCAATACGGATTTGTCATTATATACCTGAGCCACAGGAGCTTGTGAATGAACCTATATAAAGCAAATATAAATACATATTTAAATATTAAATATATATATTTATAAAAAGCAAATAATATTTTTAAAAAACAGATTAATTAATAAAAAAAAAAACATACCAAGAAATCATTATTAACACCCGGGTGACCAACATCATGTCCAACGGAAGCCAATAATAGAGCAAATGCGTCGATAACATTTAGTTGATCATTAGGGCGGCAACGTTGCTGATTAGAATTAATACTTTGTCTCTTTGAAGAAAAAAAAGGAGGGAGGAGACCAATTTTACATAAAAATAGAAACATTGCTTGTAAAACATCGACAGCATGAGTAAAATTGTGGTAGGGATTTGTATCATAATAAGATTGACGAATTGCCACAAGGAGTCGATGTAATTGATCTAAATAAAATAAAATATAAGTATGAAAAGAATTAAATATAAAAAAAAAATATAAAAAATAATAATATAAAAGTATAAATATAAAAGTATACTGTAAATAATACCTGTTTTTATGTTTAATTCTTTGAGTTCATCAAGAGACATTACATGATCAAATATGATAAAGACGCATTTTAACAACTCATCGTCATCTAGTGAGTGAGGATTAAAATCCCATTCAGATAATTTATTTTTAAGAACATTTCTTCGCTCCAATTCAGAAGCCTGGCTCAATCTAATAAAATTAATTACAAGAAAAAAAAATAAATAAAAAATAAAATAAAAATAACATAAAAAATAAAATAAAAATAACGTAAAAAATAAAATAATTAAAATACCTTGGGGAAAAAGGTATATTCATCATAGATTCAGGAGGAGTATAATATTCAATGATAGCTCTTGCTAGCCTAGGTAAAATTAATGATATATAGTATATAGTAAATATAGTATAAGACAAAAATGCCAAATATCCATGTCCATATCCAAATATATCGACAATATATATATATTTTTAGAGGCATACCAATTATCTCTAATATAAAATTCTTCAAGCCTTTGCTCGAAAGAGAAACTACGCCGTATTGCAGGTCTTCGAAAATAATCCATTGCAGTTGGAGATATTGGTGACTTGTTTCCCGAAATAACAAACCTATGTGCATTCTAATAATATAAAAAAAAAGTTTTTTATTTAAGTATAATGGATAAAGTAGATAATAATCGAAAAATCATTAAAAAAATCATTAAAAAAAATAATTAAAAAATTTAAAAAATAAAAAATACCAAAAATATAGTCTTTGCAACTTCAGGTCTAATAGGTTTTATTAGATAATCTGAAGCACCTTTATTTATACAATCAAGAATTACATCAAAAGAATCTCTCCATGAGCATACTAAAAAAAAATAAAAAAATAAAAGTAAATATTTATATATCAATATAGATATAAATATAGATATAAATATAGATATAACACATATAACACATAGACATATGTACATACCTATCGGAATGACTCGTTCCAATAATCCTTTTGATATTTCCCTTGATACATAATTTAAAAACTCTAGACCATATAAAGTGTCTCTTGTTGTTGTAAATTCTTCGAGGCTTATAGAATGTATCGAATCAGGTACAATAAATGAATTCTTTCGTGCATATAAATCACGACTAACACCTTCGGTGTGATCAATGTCTATTAATAATATCGTAGGAGGACTTCCTACAGATCTATCTTTTAATACTGAAAGTGCTTTTCTGCCTGACGGAACAGTTGTAACTTTTTTTAAAAAAAAAGGCGAATTCATAAAAAATACAAAGAAATTAAATTCAGAATTTAGAAACTTTAATAACCAATTAAATTCAGAATTCAGGAACATATCAAGTATCTTTTTAAAAAATCACTTTGAATTACTAAATTAAAAAAAAAAAATAGAACAGAAAAAAATAAACATACCTTCAGAGAAAATGGATAAAAAAATTTTAACAATGTCATCAATAGTTTGTTTTTTGCTCTCGCAAATGCACCCGTCACCGCAAGCAGCTAAAAATGAAATTGTAGTATCCTCAGAATCGGAAAAGTGAGAAGCTTGGTTATAAGTTCTTTCACTTGAAGTACGATCAACTATGAGAACTGAGTAACGACTTGGCTCCATATAAAGTGGAGACAAAGGTGACAGAACAGAATCTGTCGGGGTGGTTGGAACAAAATTGGGAGCCAGCGGAAAAAATTTTTAAAGGGAAACAAATGGTTGATAAATTGATGAAATAAATTGATAAATTTGATAAATTGTATAAAGTTTTTTTTTTATCTAAGGTTAACAAAAATTGACGATATAAAAATGGAACATATGCAAAAATTCTATTTACAAAAGGTTTTGCAATAGTACTCTATTTAGGCAAGTTCGTAAGAAACTAAAAGGTGTATGGTGCTTTTTTTGTGCGGGTATATGCGTTACAAGTATGCAATAAGAACGAGGAGGTGTCAATAAGTGTATGGAGAGAATATTGAAAGTATTTATTATAAAAGTTAGACTGAGAGGAATTACACAAGCCACAAGTTAACGAATGCGAAGAGAAACGAAAGACTTGTAAAAAAAAAAAAAAAAAAAAAAATGAAAAAAAAAGTAATTTACAAAAAAGTTTTTAGTCTATCTATTTTTCAGGAACCAATAAATAAGAAAGAAGAAAAAAGAAAAAAAAAAAAAAAGAAAATAATGATAATAATAAATAATAATGTCTCTAAAAATTAAAAGAAAAGAAGAAATAAGCACGTAATGTAAATAGACGTGAATATAAAAAAAAAAAAAAAAAAAACCTAGTGCTAATTATTCTCCATTGGATTATATTGGGTTATATTGGAATATATAGGATTAATATTGGATTAATATTTTAATATTGGATTAATAAGTTACGGAATGTCGGAATAGTCAGTGCTCACATAAAAACCTGTTAATACCTGTAACGTAACCTAATCCGAGGCTATTTTTTTAGAAAATTTATTTGTCATAAAAAACGTGCATAATACGTATAAATAATGGTACGTAAGCATTAATTATAATATATATACGTATAAAGTATATATATACAGTAATAATTAATATAGATATAGAAAGAATTATATAGATTTTGATAGATTTTGATAATACGTGTACGTAGATATAGATGTTCATTAAATAACCGCCATTCGGATCATGGGAAAAAAAAAATGTTAAATTACTCAGATTACCAGATTTGTAATTCTATTAATATTACAAGAACATTACTTGCTCATGATTATAACAAATGTAGGACTAGATTGTTAATAATTTTTACTAACTTTTTTTATTTAGTAACGTGGTAATTTTTAATGATTAACAGTAAATGATAACCAAAAATGAAGATATCATATAAGAAAAAATAAAACTATATATACTCAATATGTATAAATATATAAATAAATAACTAAATAAATAAATATATAAATATATATATATATATATATATATTTTTTTACCTGTTTCTCCGCAGAGTCCCTAGGGATACTAGTGCAATTAATAACGTAAGTGTAAATGAGCTGAGGCGCAAAAAAACCAAAAAAGAGATATATGATTTAGTAATGACCGGCTGATGACGATTTATACCTCGATTATAATCTTTTTTTCGCGTTTTTGATACACGAAAATCTAAAAAGTGTGGAGATGACAAGAATTAAACAGGATTCGTTTCTTTTGTTTGTTCTTGCATTTAAAAAATGTAGTGTCACCATTATTGTGCGTCGTACCGATTTTAGCAAGACCAACCGGATATAAGTTTCACTACATAAGTTAAAATTGAGAGTTTCTTTTTTTTTTCTAGCGATCTTTTAGATTTACATTAGTCGCGTGGTAACATTTTCCTATTTACACGGATATTTTGACCGGTCACCGAAGATTAATCTTTCGTGAGAAGAATTTCTTTGTCTTAACTACCCTATTACACTGTGTTCCGGTACACCGATGAATAACCGCATATATTGTTAATTTAGTACAGTACTAACACAATACTAACGTTAGTAGGTTAGTAGATTAGTAGGTTAGTAGGTTAGTACTCTGCCTACTCTGCCTACTCTGCTTACTCTACATTATATACATTAGTACGTACATTAGTATATACGTATATATATACATATATCTGTATATAGTATTAATTATAATACTGTAATATATCAGATATCGATTTGGTACTCGGTTACTCTATTACACTATAATAAACATTATACATACTGTACAAATCACTCTATTTAGGCTTACGCCAATTGTACTAGCGTCAGTTTCGTGTTTAATCTATTGTCATTCTTTATCCAAAAAAGAATAAAGATCGTTAAACATGTGTTTTTGGTTTTAAAGTATGCGTTTAAAAATTTATTATCATTTTATTTACATACATTACATACGTACGTACGTTTTTCTGTATCAGTTTTTATTAACGTTAACTTTGGTTTTCTTTGTGTTGATGACGTTATTTGTTCCTTTTATGTTTTTGTTCCTTTTATGTTCTACGTAAATGTTTTACGTAAAATTTCTAAATAAATCTAATTTTCTAATTTTTTTAAAAAAATCTATTAATAATATTATCGTTATATAAAAATTTAATTTTTTATTATTTATCAAAATTAAATTTTTTATTTATCAAAATTTAATTTTTTATTATTTATCAAAATTAATTTTTTATTTGATGCACTATCACGTGGAATATCCCTTTTTCTCGCGTGGCAATAAAAAAACAAATTTACGTATTTCAATCTTAATCTAGTTTGTACTTTCGTCATATCAATAAATACTTTTGTCATGAATTTACGCCTCTCATTGTGCTTTTTTTTCAGCCGAATTATCTGTGTATCAACTTCATTGATCTCCTTTTTTGTACTATCTTTTGATAACCTTCCCGTGTTAGCCCTGTCTATCATTTTCTCCACAATTTGTTCGCGTGGCGATGTGGCAAGCCATTTGACTGTTTCAATCCTGATTGAATGAACTTTTGTTCTTTTTTTTCTTTATATTTCTAATCCGACATCCACTCGATCAAAATTAACAATGAACTCCTGTAAACAATCAACAATTCTGCACTATAAACTTCTACTTTATATTACTGTATTACCCAATCTTCCGTATACCGATCTTGGAATTTTGGTTCCTTCTTTAGTAATATTACCTAATACTTTTTGTCTAACATTCTGAAAATGCATTCTATATCTGTATCGATATATCTGCTCATGTATTCATAATTTCCTATTCATGTATCTTATGTTTATGTTTTATAATTTAGTATTACCTTTAATTTCATTCACCTGATTAATGTGTTACCTACCTATGTGCCTTTTTCTTTGGAAATTTCTCGTAATGCTTGCTTGTTTTTATTACGTACGTACGTATACTGTATATTAGTTTCTTAATTATACGTATACTTATCTATATTTCCAATTAAATTTAAATCTTTTTACAAATAACTACGTATAAATTTTTTTATTATGCTTAAAAACCTTAAAAAAATTTTTTTTTTTTTTTGAATTTCCTGGTCTTATCGTCGGCATGTACCCTAAAAAAAATTCTAAAAAAAAATAATTTTTTTTCTTATATGTTATTATAGACGTACGTACAGTACATACATATCAGATATAATCAGATATAGCAAAATTTCTATTAATAGCTATCTACATATTAAACAAAAAAGGTTATTATTATTTCTTTATCGCTGATGATTATCATTAGTATACGTATAGTGATAAATACATAGTGATTTTAAAATTTGACTTTATAGTTAGTCGATATTATATAATAATTAATTAAAAAAATCGACTAATTTATTATCGTTATCATTTACTACAGTACTAATACACTACTAGTACACTATTAGTACACTATTAGTACACTACTAGTACACTACTAGTACACTACTAGTACACTACTAGTACACTATTAGTACACTACTAGTACACTACTAGTACACTATTAGTATACTACTAGTACGCTACTAATACACTACTAGTACGCTACTAGTACGCTACTAGTACACTATTAGTACACTACTAGTACACGTAATATGAATTCAAGCTTCTTAATTATATTATATTATATATATATACATATATATAGTTATATTTACAGTTAAAAATATTTGATTAAATCAATTAGTCGATTTTGGTCGACTAGATGGCTATCGGCTGCAAAATACTAGTTATTAGCGGTAATTATCATTGTTACATCTAATCTACATGCATATTCAATCATTTCAAGATAGCATGAAATATACTGTGTAAAACTTGTATAATCAAAGGTAAAATAATATAAAATTTTCTCTTTTGTATTTATAAAATGCCAAGAAGGGTGAAATATTTAAAAATTTGTAAAATCAAATCAAATTACGTATATCGATATATTAATTATTTTTTAATTGGTTCACTTAAATGCAGTTATGTAATAACGATAATAATTTTTACCCTTTTTAGTAAAAAAAAAAAAAAACTTTTATATTAGGCTGTGCAAAGTTTGTATTAATTTTTCTTTCAAAGAATTTTTATATTTAAACAAAAAAAAAAAAAAACAATTTTTTTTATAGATATCTAAAAAAAAACCTACCCGGATGGTAAGTAAAAAAACTCCTGATAAAAATTAGCTAATTTTTCGGTCGATTTCAATTAAGTTTGTAATTTCGGCATAAAGTATACATGAAAGTTGCTTTTGTATCACATGTAACACATATATTCTACAGATCGTTAACATGTTTAGTTTGTATGAAGATTTACAGTTGTTCTTATACGTAATCACAGTTCTTATAATCTTAGCAAGAAATATTAAAAAGCTGAATATATATCTATAATAATGAACAGGGATTGGAACCGTTATTCGTTTAACCGCCTTTACCCGTTATATTTATATTATACGATTAAGCGAGTAGGAAATTTTATAAACGATTAAAAAAACTACGTGGACAAACAAATATGCACGTGGTTATTTAAACTTTATCAACGTTTAGGCTGTACGTACGTACGTATAATTATGGATGATGCCAATTAAAACCCGAAAATAAATATTCAAGTTCTTACTGTGGTGAAATGTTGAAATGTTCATATTTTGAATTACACAATATTCTAATTTTTCTGAGTTAAGTTCGTCACATTTTATTCATATTGGCTGATCTGCATGGTCTAATAAATATAAAAACCAATGACCGGTCATTTGACTAGATCTGAAGTAAAATAATTTAAAATTTAGACTGAATGATTGATAATTTTGACCGGAATTATAACTTATTGGTTTTTATATTTATTAGACCGTACAGATCTGCCAATGTGTTGTATTAAGAAACTATTTATCGTTATGCTATAAAAATTTGATAATACTGATTTCTGGTTCCTGACGATGATTGCATTTCCTATACTGTAATGATGAACGCTAATCAATCTTCTTATTTCGTAGTGTTCCCGTTTCGATTTGCGTCATGGTGAGTAATTATTTCATGTTTCAGAGTATGTATAAAGGTTATGAGAATATTGTCGGTTCAATCTTTATGGAACGTAAAAGAAAAAGACATGATATACACGAGTATACAAACAAAAAGATAAATCTATCGTTAAGTTATCGAATCACAAGATCACTATCTACATCTGGTTGCGTCTAGTGTTCCGACCCGGGTCAGATAATAGTGACCCGACGGGTCAGACATTTAACCCGGGTCATGACCCGGGTCAACGG